ATGTTTTGTTCATTGAAATATCAAAATCATGAAAAATATTATTTGTTAATGCAACACGACAAAATAGAGCTGGAGTTGGGGTAATCTTTATCATATATGAAGGAGAGATCTTGTTGTTTGCCTTATCATTGACTAAATGCTATTCCAATAACATGGCTAAATATCAAGCTTTGATTTATGGGTTGGACATAACAGTGAATATAATGATGCCTCTTCTTAAATTATTTAGAGATTCTCAATTAGTCTTTAAACAACTCCTCTAACTTTATGAAGTTAAGAAGTTAAAACTCGTTCTATATCACAAGTATGCACTAAAACTAATGATATTACTTGATTGTAACACTTTATAACATGTACCGTAGAAAGAAATGAGCAAGTTGATGCCTTAATAAATCTAGCGTCAACATTAGCATCATGAAAATAAAAGTTTTTGTATGCCAAAGATGGGTTATTCCACAAATAATTCATGTTGGAGAAGAGAAAGAACAAGTGAGTGTGGTTTCTGTTTTTGAGATTGAAAAAGATGACTAATGCTGGCCGCTTATCGATTATTTGAGCATGATAAATTACCTAAAAGCCTTATTAAATTGAAATAGATTTATTACCGTACAACAAAATATTCCTACTGTATTTATTTTTGCTTTTGTATTCATTTCATAGTTTATTGAAAAAAAGATTCCTTTTACATCCAGAGAGCATTGGAGGAAATTGCATTCTTCCTAGCAGCCATAACATTTTCCTTTGCCATAGCAGTTCCATTTCCTCTTAGCATCAAATGTGTTATATGGGTAGTCTATATCATGTTGTTGATCATTATTGCCATCCGCAATTGCCTCTCAGTGGTTGTAGTTGTTATTTTCAAATGTAATATTTCTCTTATTGAAAATTTGTGTGATCAAAGTGAAACTGTCATAGCTTTCATGATCTTAAATTGTATTAAATATCAATAAAATCAGAATGCATGTCAATTAGAAAAGTACTTGCAAATAGGAATCTCGATTTATTAGCGAGAAAATGTTAATATGGCATGTCAAACACAATTGAAGGAGGTGAGAACTCGAAGAAGAAATTAAACAAAATTGGAAAAGGAACTTCATTCTTAGGAAATCTCTGAAATATTGTGCATACTAGATCGAAAGCAAACACAAAAAAAACAAACAAGCAAATTTACATGGTTTCCCAAATTAGGTATGTCCATGGAGACAACAAATTATATATTATTGGAGGAATGATAGAAGTCTTTTTAACACAGTACAATCCCAAAAACTAGTGTTTCATTGAATATGTCCTGCAGTAGCAATCAATATACACCAACAAAAATATCTAGCGGTATATATCGAGGACATTATATTGAAAAAAAAATAAATGAAAAAAGAGCCAAAAAGTATGATGACATGTCATTCTACATACAAAATTACTGATAGATTTAAATGTATCGATTAAATTCATTAGTAAATCCATCTATAATATTTAATTTATAACTTGATAAGTGACCCTACTCTCTTCCTTCTCCATTTCTTCTTGTTCTACTTCCTCCTCTATTTTTCTCTATAACAAACACCATAACCCCCTGTTCACTTATCAATAATTGCATAAATATTGTCATAACCCAATTTTGGGTTATTCCTCAATTTTGATCCATATTTTGATAACTTTTTAGAAAAAAATCCAAAAAATAGAGAAAAACAATGAAAATCCAAAAAATACATTTTTAAACATATTTGCATCATTTTTAGCATTTTCAACATCATCTCACAAGAATTTAAATTTTCAAAGATATTTGGAATGCGTTCAATTTTTAACGTGTTATTTTTAAAATCATTGATTTTTCTCATTGAGTTGATGTTGATATTGCTTGTTTTAAAAAAAAATACAAAAAAAATCAAAATTTACAAAAACAATAAAATTAAGGGACCAATTTTGAAATCCAAGCAACATTTTGCCTATAAATAGCAACCTTTAACACAAATAAAGAGAGGGGGGGCAATTTTGACAAAAAAAAAGAAGAGAAACCCTAAACCACAAAAAACCCTAAAGGAGTCGCCGCCTCCCTCACCCCCTCAAACCTGTCAGCTTCGCTGGACGATTTCTCACTTGTCTACCGTTGGCTCGACATGAAATTTGAGTATGTTGTGCGGCCCTATATTTACTACAACCTGACCGCAGCGATCATTCATATTTGAAACTACGAGAGAAATATTACCGTTTGAATATTTCTAGACAAACCACTCTCGGAATAGTTAGAGCCGCCGGCCTATTTCTCCATTTTTCACCGTTGGATCAACCTGAGTTTTGGATATGTGATGCGTATGGTTGTATTGCACATTCTCAACGGTGGAGATGAGATGAAACTCATCCAAAAAGGTGTTATGCGTGTTCAACAATGGCTCGCTAATCTCAGGTCAGTTTCGGTCTAACTCCGATCAAGGGAGATCCAACCGTTAACTCCGGCTGATATTTGGATATATGCTGCATGAGATGTCGGGTTATCATTTCACCGTTGGGATTTGTTATTGTTTCAATTGTTGATGAGTAATGGTCATCGGAAGCTTTGCCCAGAATCTGTCATGACTTTCGATTTGAAAACCCAAATCACAACACTCACTATCGGCGCCGGAAGACAGAGAAGAGGAAGACGGCCGATCTACTGGTTCTGCCACCTCCGGTAGTAGCGGCGCGTGGAGGAAACGCACCGCCACTGTCCACACTTCGGCACTGTTCACGGGTACTGTTCACACTGCCCTATAAGGGACTTCAATGTAATTTTTGAAGTTTTATGGACTGTTTTGTAAATTTTAAATTATTTAATGTAATTTTTATTTAGTTTTGGATTTTTATAATTGGTAATGTGGATGTAAAAAAAAAAGGAAAAGAAAAGAAAAAAGAAAAAGAAAAAGAATAAAAAAATGCATGTGTGTGTGTGTTTGTATTTGTCTTATGAATGTTTTCTTTTTATTTATGATAAAATTGCAGAGAATAAAAAAGAATTTAATATTTTGATTGTATCACGGTGTAGAAGTACAAACTTGTACGGATGTTGTATTTTTAAAATCCGATGAAAAGACAAAATTTTTAAAACTTCTTTAACACATCAAGTCCATGAAGCAGCTTATCTCAGGTAGGGTGTGTTAGGGGTGCTAATACCTTCCTTAACCACAACCGGTTCCTTACCCGCGAATCTCTAACAAGACCAGTACAACCAATTTTCCTAGTAACCTTCAATTAAATACTAGGTGGCGACTCCTAACAAATCCAACAAGATTAAATCAAATAATAACAATGAAAAATCATTAGAGCCGACGTCGCGTGGATTTTTTTGACGTGCGACAGAATGACGACTCCACTGGGGAGGTATTATTTCTAACAATATTGGGCTAAGCTTTGTGTATTTGACGTGTTTAAATTTTGGCATTTTTATTGTGTTTTATGCATACATTTTTAGAATTGTTACATGCATCACTTGTATCTATTTTGAAAGCACACACAAGCTTCTAAGTTAGGTGGGGAGCAGCGGTCTGCCTCATGACTTTCAGTCGGGGTTTAGATTTGTGAAACATCCAACTATGAGTTGAGTGTTTACTCGGTAATGGCGTTCACACGGTGCCCTAACCATTCTTTGGAGACCCCTATACTGCCTTCACGAAAGGTGGTCACTAGGCAGTTCATAGACCCTTTTGAGACCAGGTAGAAAACCTACCCATGTTCACATAATGAATAGTACCTATCCTTAGGTTGTATGTGCTATCATTTATTTGCATCGGGGTGAACCCTTCTTGAAACGTCTTAAACTCAAGACTTGTGGGTGACAGAATGATCGTCGCTCCGAAAATTTTCATTGTAGAGTTTTGGCAAGAATCAAGATTCTTGTTTCATCATGCAAAAGATACGATCATCTGTCACCCCTTGAAGGGCGAGTTCATCATATAGATTTCATGTTCATACATTTGTCATGTATGCACCAAAATAAAAATGGGTCCCCTACGAGTCTGCAACACCTAATTTTGAGCAAAAAAAAATGGAGATGAAAAGCATGCTCATTGTAACATCTATTTTCAAGAAGAGTTGAAGTCTCTGAACAAAAGCTTGACTCATCTCTAGCTTATTTGAGCAAATATTGAAAAACATCTCTAGGGAAGTTCATTCCAACTAACCTATCATCTTTGTTCGAACCCCAACAATGACTTAACCTGAAGAAGTTGGGGGCCAACACAGTCAAGAGCCCCAGCACAGTACAACATTTCCATAAAAGCTTTTGTGGGAAAGCTGACCAAAGAGGAATTGCATCACCATTGCAAAATGGAGCCTGTTCTTGCTCTATCCAATAAAATACCTCTACTCGATCATGCCTGTAAAAACTTCTTGATTTTTTCACCCTATTCTAGTTTTTATTGGTAATTTGGCTCAAAATTCCACAAGACTTTCCCTGTCCACTGAGCCTTACTTGTTAATAAGATAATGTGTTTTCTTGAATTCATGGCATGCCTTCATTTTTGTTGTTGTTTCATGCAAATAACACATTGAACATAACCTCTGAACATGAGACCATTGCGCCATGAATCTTTAGACGTGTTTTCCCTTTCTTCCAAAACCATGCATATTTTCACAAGGATTTTTTGGGAAATCAAAGTTTAGTACAAAAACAGAAATCATATTGGTGTTTTTCTGAAACAAACAAGTTCTAGAAATTCAAGAGATTCCTTAGAGAGGTAACCATACACAAAAAAAAATGATGAAAAAAACAAAAATACACAATGAAGTGACTCCATAAGTTGAGTTTTATTCGCATGAATAATGAGAAATCACTTTACATACTCGCATGAAAGCAAGACTTACCGATCCTAAATGTATGCATTTGAGAAGAAGAAAGGTCATCTTTGACAATCCTTTCACAAGGCTGAAATATATCATTTGCAGTCCCCTTTTAAGCCTAATAGATTTTTCTTGAAAAATAACCTTGATTAGGATCACACCCTACACTGGGGGGCAAGTGCGAAAAAAATCTTTAACAATTGAAAGTGCCCAAATAACTCTTGGGGGCATGAAAAAGACCTCGACGATTGAAAGTGCCCAAACAATACTGGGGGGCATAAAAGAAAATTCTCAATCATCGAAGGTGCCCATACAAAGCTGGGGGGGCATAAAAAAAAATCCAAAGGATCCAAAAATTTTGAGTATATATAAAAAAAGAGTTAATGCAATGATGCTCAAAACCAAATGAGAAAACAAGAACAAAGAGAAAGAGCCCAAACCCTACACTGGGGGGCACCGTGGACCATTTTACAAATCAATTCCAAGGTCCAGAAATGTATGAACAAAAAGTTTGGGATATAAGCACTAGTGACTGTTAGTCTTAAAGTCCCTTAAACACCTTTTGAGCCTACAAATATCCTTTTTTTCATAACCAATAGCCCAAGCCTACATTACGTGCCTAATCAAGCCCTTTCTAATCAAAGACAAGCAATCTAGATTAGTAGGCAGTGCTTTCTCATGCTGAAGAAAATCATTATTCATGCAAATAAAATGAATGCTTTGAACAACGATTCTCAATAACCCTCAAATTGAAATTTAAACTTTTTGTGACCAACCAGATGTCACTTTGTGTTCTTCACATTTTCACCAAAAGCAAAACTAAAAGTTTTCATCACTTTCAAAAACCTCTCCATAGGAATCACTTGAATTTCTTTAGAATGAGTTTGCTTTGAATCGATGTCAAAATGATTTTTGTGTCTGGAATAGCTTTGAAATTCCACAATTTCTGCATGAAAGCAACTCCTTGTCAAAGACCAAACCTTCCACATAGCCTTATCCCTAAACCCAAATTAAATACTTGGGGGCATGATCAAGATGGGCGCGCAATCAAAGACGCCTAATAAGGCTGGCCCCATGATTCCCTTCTCTAAGATGCCAAGCAAAATTGGCAACCATTGAGATAAAGGGTGGAGGACAAAGAAGTATGATGACATTAAATCCTTCTTAGATGTCAAAATCAATGTCATAACCCAATTCTGGGTTATTCCCCAATTTTGATCCATATTTTGATAACTTTTTAGAAAAAAATCCAAAAAATAGAGAAAAACAATGAAAATAAAAAAATATATTTTTAAACATATTTGCATCATTTTTAGCATTTTCAACATCATCTCACAAGAATTTAAATTTTCAAAGATATTTGGAACGCGTTCAACTTTTAACGCGTTATTTTTA